GACCCCCTTCTCCCGTGGGGACCCCCTGCCCTGCCGGCGGGACAAGGTGACGGCTCATCATGGGCAGCCTCCAGCTGCAGGACTTCGCGGCGGGCTGGGTGGGCGGTAAGTGGCGGTGCCGTGGGTTAAGGAGGGGCTGGGAGGGTGGGAAAAGGCAGCGAAGGGGGGACAGGAGAGTGCGTGGAAAAAAAAAAAAAAATAAAATCCCCCGTGTCACCTACGGTGTGTGCCTCCCGCCGGCGCGCTCGTACCGGCGGACGCGCCGTGGGCTTCGCTTTGGCTCAGAAGTGCAGTTTAATCCCGTTTCCACGGGCGGGATACTTAAGTCTGAAGTATCGGTGGGTGTGATGCTGCCGTGAGCCCAGGGAGGGGAGGGGGGGGGGGGGATGCCAGAGCTCCCCCGCACACCCCCGGCTCTCCCTTCCCTGCTCCCCCGGCTGGAAGCACCGCTGGGCTCGGAGGGGAGTAGCTGGGGCTCGCAGTAGCCAACCCGGGATCCCCCGGCCGCGCACACCCCCGGGGTGAGGCACCGCTTGGCCTTGGCCCCGCGATCCCGACATGGCAAACAGGCTGATGGCCAGGGCGGCGATGCTGGGCAGAGGGGGGTATTGACCCGCTCTGCTGAAAACGCTGATCACAGACTCCAGGAACAGAGATACCATGATGGAAAAGGCAAGGGGAGCGCCTGTAGAGGTGCCAGGAATACAGTACGGTCTTACAAAACTGAAAGTTCCCCCTGGGTTTAACAGCTGATGGGGTGCACGGTGAAGTTGCCCCACTGCCGGGGGGGGGCTGCAGGGCCACAGGGGCAACCGTGGTGCTGGCCACCGCAGAGCAGAGCTCTGCCCAGGCTGCTGCTCAGGCCAGGCTCAGGAAGGGGCTGTGAGATGGGTCACGGACCCTGACCGGCCAGACGAGGTTGAGAGGTTAGATGACTAAAAAACCCAGACCCTCTGCCGAAAGGTGACGCAAGCAGCTGGGTTTTGGATGGTTGCAGCCTGCGGAGGCTGTGCTGGACGCGGTCTCTCCCCGATGACCCTGTGCTACCGCCGCACACCCCCGGGAGCGGGGCAGGACGTCTGGGGGTGAACAGCCACCAGCACGCGGTGGCAGCGGCCAGTTCTCGTGCATAGCACTGGACCACCGGTCTCGGGTTAAGGTCCAGGGGGAGAAGGGATATTTTATAATACATTTCTGAGTGAAGTCTTAATGTCTTCATCAAGGACACGATGGTTTTATCATCCCTAATCCACCACAAGTGAGAAATTCTATGTAGTCTCTAAAGCACTCGGGGATACCAGTTTGCACAGAGACTTGCAGATGGGGAAGCAGCACAAACTGTCTCCACAAACACCCTAAAAACTGCCAGTGTTGTTTGCAACAAGCATGTAAAACCATATCCTGGCCATGGCACGTGGGTCACTCCTCCCCAGAGAAGGGGGAAACCGAACTGTGCTCTGCCTTGCCACGGGGGCTTCTGGCAGTGAGCGGCATGGGCAGGATGGTCACGGGGAATGGGCTGGTTTCTTCCAGAAAGCCAGAAGGAATGAGGCTGGATGGGGCTGTAGAGATTGATACAGAGCAGAATCCTCTTTATCAGAATCATCCCTGGCAGGTATCTCTAAAAACTGCTCATAAAATGGCAAAGGATGGAGGTTCACGGTTCCCACCAGCAGTCAGCTCTAGGGCATCTCTGACCCAGGAGAAAGCATTTCCTTGTGTCCAACCTGAATCTCATAATTTTGAGGCTAAAAGATTTTATGAGCTTACAAGAGAGCAAGAGGGGTTGTTCATGGACAGGACATACAAATACAACACCTCCTCCTCTTACTCAGATGTAACGTTGATGGACTTCAGGAGAGTATTCAAGGAAAGATGTCCAAGCATTTCTGCCCAGCTTCTACCTGGCTCTGGCTGGGCCCAGTACAACTGCTTCTATGGAAATGTCTCCCCCCCCTGTAAACCCATTTCTTCCTGTCCCACCACAAAAGCTTCTTTGATGTTTTGTGTAATACTTTGCTTTCATCCCCAGGAGCTGCCAGCGTGGTTGTGGGCCACCCCCTGGACACAATCAAGGTAAAACATTTTGAACCATGCTCCCACCTCACCACCCAAAACCCCACCGACGGGGAGGCAGCCTCTCTCTAGATGATGTTTCAAAGGACCTTCAGTTCTCCTGTCACCCCAAGGGGGAATTTAGCCTGGGTAGAAATGTTTTCATAGACCTTCTTCCTGCCCAATGCTAATTTTGAATGAGAAACGAAAAGAACTGGCTGACACATGGGAGTTCCTCCAGTGAGGATTAATGCTGAAAATTAAACCTGTCTTTACTTAATGTATGGTTTACCAAACAGTTCTGCCGATGTTTTATTGAACTTTCCCACAGACAAGTATTCAAAGGGCAGCAGAGGAACTATATTTGTTTTGTTGCAGGCACATTTTTATGTGTCTACCTAGTGTTGGCAATACTGGAAGGGCAGTGTGCAGAAATTGTTATCCCAGGGCTATGTGACGCAATATTTACTATTCCTTCAAGACAACTATTCCTCAGAATGAAGGTTTTAGAGATGTAAGAAGATATTTGCTAGCATGATGCAGACAAGCCCATGCACACACCAGTACAGCCCAAACCACCAATTTGCCCATCCCTACAGATGCAGAGATACAGAGGAAGATCCTGTTCCCTTCTCTTTTTGTAGTGTGAAAGGCTTCTCTGGCCAGCTTTCATTGCTTCAACCACTCTGCCCACGTGCTCTGGTCTGGTCCAAGCCTTGTTGCTGGCACCAGGCAGGGCTGTCAGATGTGGCAAACCCAAGAGCCATAGGCCTGTTTGCATCTTAGAGACCCTTGGAGGGCGATGGGGAGGAGGCAGGGGCCAGCGTGGCTCACACCACATCCCTTCCCCAGCCGTCCTCTTGCCCACAGCTGGCTCTGCGGGGATCAGGAGATGGGCTGACAGCCCTATCCTTTCTGAGCTGCTACAGGGACGGCGGCCCCGGGAGCATCTCCACCGAGGATGGGTGCAGACCCCAGGCGGGAGGAGCTGCAAGGCTGCCTGCAGCATCCCGGCGATGGGCAGGGCCAGGGCACAGGCAGGCTCTGCCCAGGTTGCCAAGGCAATCCCCATCTCAGGCCGGCCATCGGGGCGTCAGTGCCAGACTGGGGGGAGTTTGGCAACAACTGAGAGAGGATCCTGCTGGGAAGCATTGAGTTTCTGGGTGCCAAGAAAGAGTGAGCCCATCCTTCAGTGCTTACAAAGACAACTGTCAGGCTGACCCCTCTGTTGCCCTTGGCTTTGGACATTGCCTGGGAATACCAAGTAGGCAGACTTGTTATCTTTGCAAATTTAGGGGAAGGGAAGTGGAGAGGAGAGTTTTTATGCAGCACTAAGCCATCAAAGGGGCAGCTCAGCAGCATTTGCAGCGTTCAGAGGACGGGAGATCCTTCCCCACCTGGAGGAGGAGGCAGGACGGAATGTGAGGTTGGATGGGGTATGTGGTGTCCACACCACAGTTCCCATCGAGCAGACCCTCTCCTTCAGCTGGTGTCTTCCCAGCATCGCAGCTTCCATCAGACCCAAGCATCTGTTTTTACCATGGCCTTGTAAAACTAAATAGTTTTACTCACTTTTCATCCTCTAGATTGCATTTATTTCCTCAGAACTTTTTTCAGTTTCTGGGTGTCACGCGAGAGCCCTGTTGTACTAATTAAAATGTAACAGAAAGACGTTTCCTGAGGAATATCCATATTGGTAACAGTTGACAGAGATGCCAGCAGGGATTTCAGTGCCGGGGGTTAACAGCTTAGCTAAGGGGCATATGTGCAAGAAGCAGTTTGTGAGGACACTCCGTTGCCCTCAGTTACTCAAAAAATGTATTAACTTGGACCTCTGAATACCTGGTTACTGTGTAAAAGAAAAAAAAACAAGCCCATGGAGGCAATATGGAAATGTCTGAGCTAAGCGTTCAGCTGAAGCCAGGAGGGAACACGGGGCTGTGCACCGCAGTGTCCCTGTCCCGGGGTGCCCAGGGTGCAGGCGGCCTCCCTGCCAGTCCCCCCAGTCCGGGTGCCCCCAGTGTGAGTCACGGGGAGCACCGCTCTGCACCCACGGCCCGGGCCTGCCTGCGTTGCACAATGGGTGCTGCGCGAGCCGTAGCCAGCATCTTCACGTACCAGCTTGTTTATAATAAATATTCTGCTTTTGCTGCCGCCTTCCCCATGGCCTTCAGCCAGGTGTGGAGCGGTTCTCGGTGCACAGAGCAGCCCCGGGGTGGGGGGTGAGCCCAGGCTTTGGTCCTTCTTGCTCCCCAGCCAGGGTCCTGCAGGGACACCCCACTGGAGGGGCTCTTGAAGGGCCCTGGGCCAAATGATTGTGCCACTCCACCTGCTGTTTTCTGCCCAAAATCCCTCCCCAGGCACGAACTCTGGAGAACATTCACTGCTTTGGGCTTTAAATTCCCAAATAAATTTCCTGCTTCACCCTAGTGTAAGTCGGGGCTGAGCACTGGAGGGGACTGGGCGCTGTCCCTCCAGCACAGGTTGGCATTGTCCCTCCAAGCTTCATTTTGTCATTCCTGCTAGCGGCAATGCTGATGGTTATGACCAAAAATACTGTCCCTGTTCCCTAAAAACTTCTCCCATAGAGCATGTGTGAGCGTCTTCCTATAAAAAATCATCTCTGGCCTCAGCCAAGATCAATTGCTGAAGCCCCTGAAGGTCCTGCGAAGCCAAGAGGGGGTCCATCTCCTCACACACCTCTAAGCCCCAAAAAAGCATCACTTGTTAGGATTTTTTTATTACAAACCTGTGAGCAGCTTGAGTGAAAGATGATGTAAATATATGTGTGCATATATATATATTTATATAGAGATACGTGAGAGGGGGAAAGCATGTTGAATCACACGGACTTTGTCATGACTTACACGCCATCTCTCACAACTGTTGTAGCCATTTTTTGGAAGGTGTATAACCCTTGTTTTCCAGAAACAAAATGTCTTTTGCTGGAAATAACGTAAAAATGTATTTTTGAGTGAAGCATGGAGAATTTCTGAGATAATTTTGGCTCCTTTTAGTATTTCTGTCTTAAAATCCACCTTGGATCAGAAGGTCTGGAAGCCTCCTAGGGGACCTCTCCTCTCCATCCTTCAGCAACGCGTCCCAACCTCCACTGAGATCCCAAAACAGAGGAGACCAGAGCACTCTCCAATTTCCACATAAATCATGAACTTGCCAATGACAACACCGCACACCAGCAGTCCGCTGTGACGCCGTGCTGGGCCAGGGTAGCTGGTTGGGGCTCGAGAGCAATTTGACAGCCATCGATTCCAGATGTTGCAGAAAGCCTCAGACCTCTGAGGTCCCGTTTAGGCCTGCTTCTGGCAAAGTGCAAGGAGGGTGGATCATATATATCTTACTTTATTGCTCTGTTTTCTTTAGAACTAAGGAAGGATTCACTCTCAAAGCAAAGTACACATTGTTTACGTAGCCAGAGCTTTCACTGTGCTGGAAGCATGGGATTTTAATTGCATCTCACGAATGTATTTTGCAGACCCGTTTGCAAGCTGGACAAGGGTATGGAAATACACTCAGCTGTGTTCTTACTGTGTACAGAAATGAGTCTGTAAGTACTTTATCTTACTTAAAATGCGCTGGTAGAAAATGCCAATGGATAAATAGATAAACACATAAAGCAATTCTACAAGATCACTGTTGGCACTAGCAGTTCTATGAAGACCAGTAAAGCTGGTGCAATTGAGCCTGCAAATACCTACAACCTTCTCTTGCTTAACTCTAGGTAACTCTCGTGGTTACCTCTCTAAGGAAAAGACAGATCCCTGGCATGGAGTGATAAATGACACTGCCCATGTCTCCACATGGGACAGGGTGTTACATCCACAGTGGCTCTTCTGCCCGTGCCTGCTGGCAAAGGTCTCCTGGAGGTATTTTGTTGACTTTGGTGATGCCAGGACAGAAGCTGGCCATAAGAGGGACTTTTATGTGGGTTCCTATGTTTTCAGCATATCCTGCCTTCTGCACAATCTCTAAAAGTCTTTAGTGGCATGAATTAATTTTCATTTCCTCAGCATATGTGAACGGTTGGGTCCAGGAAACATCTGGTACTTGGATTTGTATTTCTGGCCTGATGGACAAGTTGGGGTTTATGCTGCTTAGTCCTACTCACTCTCTTAACTTCAGCTCCCTTCCCCGAGTAGGTGGCTGGCTTCTTCAAAGGCATGTCCTTCCCGCTGGCCAGCATCGCTGTCTACAGCTCCGTGGTGTTCGGCGTCTTCAGCAACACGCAGCGGCTGCTCAGCCAGCTCCGCCACGGCGACCCAGCCCGTGCGCCGGCCCTTGCCGACGTGGCTCTGGCCAGCGTGGTGGCAGGGTTTGTCTCCGTGGGCATCGGCTCCCCCGTGGACCTGGTAAAGATAAGGCTACAGATGCAAACGCAGCCGTACATCAAAGGTAGGAAGCAAGAGTTTCTTTTTCCTTTCTCTGCCAGCCCTCGGTGTTTACTGAGGGCTCTAGGACAACTTTGCTTCAAGGCCCAGCTCTCTGCTGCCTTGGGCCGCTGCAGTTCCCCAACATTGGACACTTAAGATTCAGCTGGACAGGGTCTAGATTCAGCTTTTAAGATTCAACTGGGCCATTTTGTCTAGACCACGCTTTCGCCAAAACAGGTTGGACCGAATGATGCCTGAGGTCCCTTCCAACCTGGTATGCTATGATTCTGTTTCCTTCTGCCTCAGGATGGTCCCCATCCTGCTCAGTTCAAGAGGAGGGAAGGAGTTTATCAGTGACATTGATCTGTAATGAGCACAGGGGCAGGTCTGCTCAGGACCAGGAGCCGCAGGAGTCACCTTGCCCACACGGCTGTGGGGCAGGAGCAGCGAGTCCCCGGGGTGTCGGGTCCCCTGGAGATCCCACCCTCAGCACCACGGCTGCCAGTGGTAATGCCAGCTCCCCATCTACTGCTGCACGCTCTCAGTCCCACAAGTATTTGCCCATAAATCCCTCTCTGTTGTTCCACCCTCTGTTCAAAAGCAAAAATTTCACATGTACCTTTGAAAACCACCGGCTTATTTGGGGCAGGGCTACAGGGACTCGGGTGCAGGCAGGATGGGTCAGGAGGGGATGCTGGCAGGATGGCAGTGGGCAGCTGTAACCTCTCCAGAAGCCGTGGGCAGAAGGAGCGGCTTTTGTTTAAGACAACAACTGAACTTCCTCGCAGGCTGCCAGCACGGAGCAAACCCCACCGGAGCACGGGCAGAGCCAGCGGAGGAGACGGCGCAGGTTCAGAGCTGAACAGCTCGGATTTCAGCAGTTCAACACCTTCCTCATGATTACAGTTGTGGTGTTTAACTGTGAAATACTGACATTTTTATATTGCTTTGATAAAACAGCATTATGTCCGTTTTTAAAAAGCCTTATGTCTATTTTTAAAAAGCCTCCATGCAGCTTAGCAACCTAATGCCCTTTCCAAAGGCAACTTGGCCTACATGGAAAGGGCCAGACGCTGAAGATGTCAAGGCTTGGCACCAGACGTGGTTAAAATCCATGAAAATTGGGCACAGAGCCTTAAACTCGGTTGAAAATCTCACCGAGCACATACCTATTGGGTGGCATGCAATGCATCTAAGAAAAAACTCTCCTGAAGTGTTTTAACGTCTTTCAAAAATGGACCTAAGCCCTCTTTCTTAGAACTTTTAATTGCCATGCTACAGACTGATCTCAGCAAACGAAAATGGATGGCAGTGATTTCTGTTCAATGGCAGCGGGCTTTTGAGAGGAGTTCTATAGCAATATAGCTATTATAACGATTGGTTTGTTTTTTATTTTTTTTTGCAGCCAACATTAAACTACAGCCCACAGTTCCTGGATTTCCTGTGTACCGAGGCCCAATTCACTGCTTTAGGACAGTGCTAAAGAAAGAGGGTATAGCAGGGATGTACCGAGGCGCAGGAGCAATGCTCCTGAGAGATGTTCCTGGGTACTGCCTCTATTTCATCCCTTACACATTTTTCTGTGGCTGGATTACCCCAGACGGATGCATTTCCCCTAATCCCTCCTCTGTCTGGCTGGCAGGGGGTGTAGCAGGTAAGCACCTTTTTTTTTTTTTTTTTTTCCCCACAACACTGGTAAAACAAGCACAGGATGGTTCCCAGGGCAGATTACGGGGGTGGCTCAGGGGTCACCACATCCTCCTGGTCACCAGGAGAGGTTGTGGGGCTGAATGACCTTCCTCCCCCAGGGCCAGTCCCCTGGCACCACGGCTGCGCTTTATGACTTGACAGACTTAATGGAAGTCGTGTTATCAGATCTTCATCGGGCTCAATGTCAGCGAGAAGGAAAACAGCCAGCGCCTTCCTCTCCCGGGATGTCTCACGGCAGCCTCTGTATCACACAGCCAGTGATACACGGGGCCCAGAATGCCTCCAGAGGAGGACTTCAACCTGTTGGCTGCCCACCAGGAGGGTGTGCACCTTACTCGCACGCAGCAGACGCAGAGTTGACTGTTCTTCTTCTTTTTTTTGACCTGTGTACACCTGCCTGTAAGGCTGGCACATGCGTCCCCCACCATCCCTACATGTGTCACCCCTACGCCCGCTGGCCATTTCTAAATTGCAGACCCCTAAATGCAGATCAATCCTTAGCTCAGGTAACGATTACAAAACGCTCTCTCCATTTCTTCTGCAAATAAAAGAGAGCCCTGGTCCACCTGGACAGCTTCTCTAGCATGCCCCAACACTCACACAGGTCCAAACAAACTCTCGTCTGTTCCAACTGGGCCATGTATCTCGGTCGCATGCTGACCTTTCCGGAGAAGCAAACCACCCCACTCAGCTTCGGGCTAATCAATGTAAATAGACAGGGGTTTTTTATAGGAATTATGATGTACTCAGCTGCGTGGAACCTAATCCTGGCTGCATGAGATGAACTTGCCTCTTATTTGCATTCTCAGCTCAGACTTTGCTTTTCAACAGAATTATCTGAGGACTCCAGTTTTTCTGATATCGCCCAAAGCAGCAGCTCCCTGCAGCTCGGGCTCTTCCCACAGCATGTCCAGGCTCCACCAGAAGCACGGCAGAAGATGTATCTGCACCTGGGGGAGCACCTCCTGGGCTGCCTGCATTTGATTACCAGCGTGACCCCCAAAATCTCAATACCTCTTCCAGAAACAGGGAACTTTGCTCCCAGAAATACCGTTGCTGTGCCTCAGCAGGGTGAATGCCCTGAAACGACAGTCCCATGTGAATGTGATGTGGTAGATGAGAAGTGAATTTCTGAGTTCACTGACCTGCAGCCAAGGAAATATAGAGAAGAAATTGTTCAAATACTTCTACATTTTTCTAGGAGTCATTTCCTGGGGGACTGCTACTCCAATGGATGTTGTGAAAAGTCGACTTCAGGCAGATGGAGTTTATTTAAACAAGTACAAAGGGACCCTTGACTGTATCTTGCAGAGCTACCAGAACGAGGGCTTAAAAGTAAGTGTTATTTGAAGTGAAATCTGGGTATTAGGCATTTAATTTTCCACTGGGAAATACAATGGCTGTTACAAACCTATCCACAGGATTGAGAGACCGCTAAAGCCAGTTACTGCTAAATTATACTAATGACAGTAGGTAATTATAGTGCAGATTCTTTCTAAATCATAATAGTGAGAGTAATAATGTGCCATACAGCAATGATAAAAATGAATGACTGGGGGTCACAGTCTGCTGGTGTAATTAACTTAAAATAACACTTCATGTCAGTGCATTTAATTGCGAATATGATTTGACTTCTCATAAATCAAAGGCAGAAAATCTTGCCTCTGTTATTGCTTCTACAAAATGCAGAGGTCAAACGTTTCTCATTGACATCGAAGTCAATGGGAACTGATTCCAGGGGCCCTGCTGGCACCCTGGGTGCTTTTAGTTGCCCTGAGCAATGCTTTGGTGGAACTGATGCTGCATTTCACACTGCCCACCCTCATTCTGCACCCAGATAGAGTTGATTGAAAATGTTCTTAAATCAGAATTGCACTGGTATCAAACGTGAATAAGGGCTGTGCGCCAAAAAAAAAAAACCACCCTTATCTCCTTTTTCTGACTTTGTCTATTAGTGTAATAAAAAATGTTTGTTCTACCTGCAAACTTTGCCTCAGTTAAATCTGAATGGCAGAGGAGCAGGGTTTGCAGCTTTATCGCATTGCCAACGCACGGTTATGAGAAGTGACGTCTTCCAATATCTCAATAAATCTGTATTTAAGTTGTCTTCAAAACATCATGGGGGCTCTTAGCTCCAAAGTGTTAATTTTCACATTCTGAGGGAAAAGTAACAAGTTACGAAAAGAAGAATAACCTGCAAAATCACAAGGCAGTGTGATTTAGATGTTTGCCAACATGCCACTCTGTTATGCCAGCCGCCTTCGGTTTTTGTCACTGAGTGAAGAAAGCCACATCCACAGGAAGCACGGGCACCTGGAGAGATGCTGAAGACCACGCTCAGATGGTCAGAAGAGAGTCAGGGTGCCCCAGACTCCATGTGGGCTACCTGCCCCGTGTGTTTGGCAAGCAGTTTCACACTAAAACCTGAGGCAGCTGAAAAGGGAATTTCCATGTGTTATCCCTTCTCTCCTCATCCTCATCTTCACCCCCTACCCTCCTTGTCCTGCCTGAATATTAACAACTAATTCAGGCGTTTGGTTTTTTTTTTTTCGTTTGAGGTCCGAGCTGCTTGCAGTTTTTCTGCTATCGTGCCTGGCACCCAGACCAAAGCAGGCAATAGGATTGAGTAATAGTTGATAAGACTGGATCCTTCTCTCATAAAGAAAATCTTTTTGTATCTTGGGGGACACACAACTGATAAACGCCAAACCCAGGTCCGGATGTTTGAATTCTGGGACAAAGGAACAGCATTTGCAGTGCTGAAAATAACTGCCCGATGTACACACACACACAAAAAGTAAATATAGCCTTCTTCTTTCTGCATAGTCAGGTGTGTTCATTCTGATGAGAAAAATTTATACCTCCAGGCTTTTTTTTTTTTTTCATAAATCATTACTATTTAACTTGGCTCTCTTATGTTACTTTACGGATACTGCAAAAATCTGAATTTCCTCCCAGAAAATTCCATCTTTCCTAACAAAATAAAACACCCCAATAAATCAAGTAATAGCCTAAATAGCTCAATATTGCAATTTCACATTGCAAACTCCATCCTAAATTATGTTAACGTAGTTTGATTCTGTCTTGTACAAGACAACACCATGGACTGGATTTACTGGATACAAGATACGGTGATGTTTAGCAGAGCTCAGTATTTCCGGGGAAATACTGGTTAGGCACTTAAATCTAAGGGCTTCTGGTCTTGGAGCTGAGATCTTCTGTGCTTTCTTACAGTAGCTGTGGCAGCTTTGCCTTTGTAAAGCCTGGAAGGGGGCTTGCTCCGCTGATGTTACTTTTCACGTCTATTCTGAACTCCTGGTGTTTAGATTAGTGACCGCAGCGATTAGCCTGGGTGGTTAACGGAGTGATTTTAGGAAAAACAGGCCAGCCGAGATACTCCCTCCAACCATCATTTTGTAAATAAGCTCAGCCCAGAGCGAGCGGTTTGTGCACACCCTCGCACATACCAGGAACAGTGTTCGTAGCACGGGGGGGG